ATGAGAAGATCCAGATTGTAAGTCAGATGGTGGAGCTGGTGGAGAACCGAACCATGCAGGTGGACAGTCACGTGGAGCTCTGCGAAGCACACCAGGACATCAGTGACAGCACCAGCAGCAGCTGCAAGCCCGGCAAGGACAAGTCCAGGAGTGATGCAATCACTCAGGAGGACAAGCAGAGTAACAAGAGGTCCCTGAGGCAGCGAAACAATGAGAATAGAGAGAATGCATCTAATAATCAGGACCATGACGACATCACCTCAGGAACGCCCAAGGAGAAGAAAGCAAAAACCTCAAAGAGGAAGAAACGCTCCAAGGCCAAAGCAGAGAAGGATGCCTCTCCCACAGACCTCCCCATGGACCCCAAGGAGCCCACCTACTGTGTGTGCAATCAGGTCTCCTATGGAGAGATGATAGGCTGCTACAACCATGAGTGCCCCATCGAGTGGTTCCACTTTTCCTGTGTGGGACTCAACCATACACCAAAGGGCAAGTGGTACTGCCCCAAATGACGGGGGAGAACGAGCAAACATTGGAAAAAGCCCTGGAAAAGTCCAAGAAAGAAAGGGCTTACAGCAGGTAGTTTGTGGACATTCACAGGTGAGAACAGAACCCGCCAGTGTATTTCAGGTGCCTTTTCTGAAGTCTGAGGATGGTCAGGTTCGTATTTTTAGAGAATGTTAGGAACGGATCCTCTCCATGGGATGGCATGTGTCGTCATGGTGTACCTGTAACCAGACTGAATCTGCAGATCTGCATTTTAGAAACTACAAATATAGGTTCAGATTTAATATGTCAGCAAGTGTCAGACTGGTTGGGGCTTGGGGAGTGACTTGGAAGTAGCCTAACAGATGTATAAAGAAGAGATTTGATTTGGATGTTTTAACAAAAATGTTATGGTTTACAAAAAAAAAAAAAATATTAGCCAGGTTGCTGAAGTTCAGCAAGTGTGCTTCTTGCTACCATAATGTAAATCCACATGACAAGTTGGTCAAAGGTTTAAAGTCTAAATATTATTTTTTAAAATGGTAAATGGGTAATTTTACATAGCATATTTTATACATGACCTATTCACCAACTGGCCATTGTTAATGACTGGGTACATTTTTAATAGGTCAGACAGAAGTGGTCCAGGCAGTGGGTCCAAGTCTTGCCTTTGCTACCCTAGGTCATAGAGTAGCCACCTTTAACTTATATGAAGTGTATAAATGTACATTTCCCAGATACCTTGCCCCTGTTGTATTATAACCAGAAGAGCAGCCTGGTGCTGTTGTGAAGCAAAGGTGTGTATCCTGCTGTGTGTGTGAGCTGCATAGATGTCACATCAAGAAATAAATGAAACTTGGCCAGTTTGTTTCTTTAGCATTTAATTTTAACATAAATCATTTTAAACTTTTTGTCTTAAAAATTTATACACCAGCAGTTTAGACAAAGCCTTAAGCAAATTGTACATTATTGATCTCATGTAATAAGGAAGTAGACATTACATCAGCAAATAAATGTCACAAACTATTTAGAGCAGAGGTTAGGAAGTGTGTGTATACTTGAGACCCAGTCACACCATCTGTTCTGTGAGCTAAGAATGCTCTCTGTGGTTCTCAGTGGTTTCAAATCACATTTTATGATACATGAAACTCCTATTAAATTCAGATTTGAGTGTCTATAAATGAAAACTCATTGGAACACACACTCACACAAAGAAGATTATTCATTAGTGTGTATTGTGCATATCTCCTGTGCATTATAAACAATACCACTACCAACACTTGTGCTCAAGGTGTGGAAACCAATTTCTTTGTCATAGGCTCGCATCTATAAACTGAGGACTCTATGATAACTATCTGCTTCATGTACTGAGGGACTACTAGACTGTTTTCCCTAGCACATCTCTTATTTAAATCTCAGCAGCTGTGCGTTAGGCTTCTGGTTCCATGGAATTCTTCTATATAATATCTGAATGTTTTCATTATAGCTGTACAAAACTGAGAATGAGGTGGTATCTCCTGAAATTGATTTTCATCTCCATAAGTGAGTACATTTAACATCTTTTCATGTGCTTATTGATGATTTTTATCTTTGAGGAAAATGTTCTGCACACTGGGCTTGAAAGTTGTGTTACCAATCTTTTTTAGTATTTTATTTATTTATTTTGTTTTTTCAGTACAGAGATTCTCCCCATTTTTTTAAGATTTATTTATTCATTTATTATGTACAGAATTCTGCCTGCATGTATGCCTACAAGCCAGAAGAGAACACCAGTTTCAATAAAGATGGTTGGGAGCGATGGTTTGGAGCCACCTTGTGGTTGCTGGGAATTGAAACCAGGATTTACTGGAAGAACAGTCAGTGCTCTTAACCACTGAGTTATCTCTCCAGCCCATATGCTACCCATCTTTCTGTAGGTTTTTGCATGTTAGAAGTGCAAGATTCAAGCCGGGCATTAGTGGTTCACACCTTTAATCCCAGCATTCA